CAACTTAATTATGACTCATTCTTTTACTTTATCAACAAGAGCAACAACAACAACAAAAAAAAAAAAGAGATAAAAAATCAGAGATAAAAAATGGACGCACGGTTTCAAATATATCCATATTGTTTAAGGAGTATGAATACGTATGATCCACATACATTGATACACAAACATATATATTTACACTTAAAAAATCTATTTAATTTCTAGTGCTATATTTTATATTAAATGCTAAATGCATGTTTGGGAATTATCTTAGTATAAGAACAATAGAAGTAAAGATTGATGTAGAAGGAATAAGTCAATGAACTACAAATTTATTTCATCAGAGTTTTTATTTGATGGAAATTTCCTTTCATTTATATCTGTTGAAAACCTTTTTTTTACCAACAGAGGGGTAAGGATTTCACTGCAAGAATGCAAGAATGTGCTAGCTTGATATTTATTGCAAAAACTTTAAGTGTTTATTTTTAATCATTTGTTGTTTTGAGATACTTTCACAGAAATTAAATATGTATCAATCACTGGAATTGTTGAACGCATATATATAAAAACAAAGATCTACTATAGAGAATTAAAAATGGTCACATTAATATTCATGGCATAAACTATTGCTGTAAATTTAGTATGATCATCTGTTACGATATATCACTAAGAATGCCATAAAATCTCAATAATAGTATGCAAAAATAAGATGGGCTCTACATAGTAAAAGTTCTGAAGTATTTTCTTTTATAGAGTATAATTATTGCAATAGAAGAGGATCACTATTTAAGTATAGCAGAAGAATTCCAACATGATGCAAAATTTTGATCTATGGAAATGGAAACATATATGTTAGAAATGAAGATAGAAAAATAAGTTCAAAAGATGATAACATTCTTGCTAAAAATTTGGGGAAAGACTAAAAATTTATCCCACCTCATAAATAAGAGAACAGTGATACTCATAGTGAAAAATAGTTGACAACGTCAATTTCAATGGTAAAAATATGTATTTTGTATTACTCTTTTTAGAGAGTATGATTTTTAAAAAAGAATGGAGTAAGATCATAATTCTGCAGTAACAAAAGTGTATCTTTAAATTGATCTCTACTAACTTCTGGGATTATGTATGTTAGCATAGCACATATACAAAAATTTGAGAAAGCTTTTTCATTGCAATGTAAATTGTGTTTAGTAGGTTTTTAAAATTAGGCTTTGCTCAAAAGCATTTAGATATTACAAAAACTCAATATGTGTTTAAAGCACAGAATTGAAGAATTCAGATTAGACATTACTGCATCATTGCCCATTGCCTTGAAAGGAGAAAGATGAGAAAAAGAGAAAGATAACTTGTTTCAGTTTAGCTATCTCTGTCATAATATTCTTAAATCTTGGTTTAAGTAATTCAATGTGTTGAGTTGGATGAGAAAACTGTCAGACACCACAATGTTTGAAATTGCATCTTCTGGAAAATATTTTATTCTTTGAGTGAGCATCTTTATTATTGCTACAATTTCAATTTCCTTTAGCCTTTCATTTTCATGAAAAAGAAAAAGAAAAAAAAAAAAAAAAAAAGAAAAAAAAAAAGAAAGAAAAAGAAGTTAACAGGAGACTCAAGATTCAACCATGTAGGTAAAAATAAGAATCAGACATCAGCAATCACAGGAATGAATGAGAACGTGAGAAGGAGTCAAGGGTGATGAAGAAAGGCATAGTGATTTGAAAATAATAAATGAACATAATCTGACTCAGTTCTTTGGGAATTCAATAGAGCATTTCTTTATTTTCATTTTTTTAGACTTGGCTCTCATGCATACACAAGATCATCTTGAGATAAAATCCTTGTTTGTGCTCAGAAATCTTTTGAAGACTCCAAAAATAAATTACTTCTTTGGCCACAATTTCCTATTTCACTCTAATATAAAGAACAGCTCCACCACAGTGTTTTATTACTTTTCCAAGGTTGCAGCTCTGGAATATGTGTGCTTACTAAACATCTCTGTGGCATCTAGTCACTTCATATTTGCAGGAGAATAATATTTAGATTTGCATTTTTAAAAAAGTTTTTTTTGTCTTATTATTTAAAAAAAAAAGCTGGTCACAACATTTAAATCCCATTAAAAGAGTTAATTCGCTACAGTAATAATTTATGATTTTAATTATAAACTTGAAAAACAGATTTCGAAGCAAAGTTGGCATGACTATAATGTTAATTTGTTCTTAACGTTTATTGAAAGCAATATGTCCAATGTAATTACAGTGTGTCTCCAATAAGCCATCACTGTATTTTTTTTAATGTATATTCCATTAATTCGCTTGATTAAGATAACTTGCCATCTGCTTAGGAATTTTTCTGTTGTTCCATCATTATTTCCAAATACCAAGAAATTATATAATGCATTTTCTTCTATTTTGTTTATTTTCTTGATATTATCCTATTAATCCCTTTGTATAGTGCTCATCATCTGTTTCTTCCTAGCTGTTACAAAGAGGGTCATGTTGTAACTTACTAAACAGCACAAATGACTTACAGAGTCAATCAAATATGTTTGTATTAGACATTACATCAACGTCAAACACTCAGTGGCATATTACCTTGTATGTGCATTAAAATATTTCTTTTTCTAAAAGTATTGCTATTGTCTTGTAAATAAAATTAAATTCAATTGAAACTAGGAAATTCATTAAGTCACTTATGCCCTTCTCTTAATCACCAAACTAGAGTTTCCTCCCTTATAAGTACTTTGTAAAGGACATTTTCCAATGCAACAAAGGATGAATATTGTAACTGGCTGGTTACAATAACCCATTAAGATGTGAAAATGTGTATTAGCTACTGGAGCAAGTGAGGGTCCGGGTGCCAGAAGCTGCTGGGGAGTCTTTGAATAGCTCTTTGAATCTAGGAAGGGTCCTACAGACTTGTGCCTACAGTGCCAGCTGCTGGGAGAATGGTATGAGAGGAAACCAGTACCAGATGCTGAAGTCAGGCCAGGGGTACAGGCTGCATGGACTGCAGTAGCATCTACTGGAGTGGATGAGTGACCAGTAGATGGAAGGCCCTCTGTGAACATAGGGATGACTCCATAGGCTTTGACACTGGATGATCATCTGTTAAGGGGACTGCAGAAAGTGTACTAGGTTCCACATAATGGAGCGCGGTCAGAGCTATTGATACCTGTGAGAATCCTTCTTTGGTTTTTTTTGGCTCAAAGCTTGCTTCCTAAGGTATTTCTTGTGATAAGACTCTGAATGATTTGTTGAGGAGGCAAGTAATGGGTGCTAACAGTGACAATCAATATCACTTTGGGAACATTTGAAAGCCCCTTCTTCCAGAGCTGCTTACCTCCAGAAGAGAGTGCTCAGGAGTGTTTATTGGCGGAAGATCTGGCCTGTGACTAAACAGCTCCAGCTTGGTATGGGAAAATTAGGGAATGATACATTGTGTTCTGTGAAAAACAGGATGAAGATGGGCATCCCTGCTCCCTCTTATCTGCTGGCAAGGCCAGAAAGATAAGAACAAAGGAGGTTCTGCTGAGTGGCAGAAGCTACCACTCCAAGGAGAGCTGACTCAACCACTTTGGATTTGAGCTGTCACTCCAAAGATAGCTGACTCGACCACTTTGAAACTATTGAAAAGGGGCCATCATCACCATGGTCACTGTCTTCATCGTTCTCATCATTGCTGTTCTTGTTGTCGTCATCAACAGAACAATGCCCAATGACCCACCACTACCGAAGATCAAAGACTGAACTATGAACCACGCTGGATCCATGGTGGTGACTATCTCCCTCTTGCTTCCTACAAAGACTCCTTGCTTCTTCTTTCCTATCTTTTCTATTGCCATCCTTCCCTTCCCCCATTACCCTAATTCTTAATAGAGTCCGTCCTCCCCTTCCCCATTTCCCTGATTAAGATTTGTAATAAACTGGTCGGACCAGCATTTGAGCTGTTATTTCTTAATATCACACCGGGTATATAGATAATAAAAGAACCTCCTCTCCCTCCTATAAATTGGAGCAAGACAGTACCCCAGCCTGTAGTGTTGGATCTGTGGGATTTTCTTCTTGCTGTCACTAGGACTGGAGTGGTGTCTTCTCCTAAACCAGCTACTGGGCGGGAACTGGGAACTGGCATAGAATCATAGAATGTTTTGAATTGGAAGGGACCTTGAAGATAATTTACTTTCAACCCTTCTGCTATTGACAGGGACCCTCTAGACCAGGTTGCTCAAAGCCACACCCAGCCTGGCCTTGCATGAATGAGGTGACTGTGAAGCTCTGCACTGGTGACTGGAGCAGAACCATGGATCACAGCTTGTACAGCTACTGGTATTGGATCTGAGCACAGGCACTGGGAGGACTTAGGGCCTGTGCCATTACTCAGAGAATCCTTAAATGCATGTATGTCTGTAAACCTGAAGAGTGTGACTGGAGGAGGCAGCTAAGCTCCTCACCTCACTTAATATTTACTGACTGGTTGACTGATATATACACCAGTAATTCATGCTAACAAAAGGGAGTCACTTCATAAATTATTGAACACAGACAATTACATGCCCTGGAGATTTATGCCTAGAAACAATTGTGAATTTTATTTTGTTTTCTCTGGAGGAGACAGATAGTTCCTTCTGTTACATAATGTTCTTTTTGCCTAGGGCTGCTGATTCCTCCTGATAAATCTAGAGGTGTGTACCAGATGCAAAGCCATAGTCAGGATGGCAAAAAAGCAGAGCTAACAGTGCAGGTCATTCTTCCCAGAGGCATCAAACTAATGAGGAAGTTATAATGCATCCCAGGGCTGCTCATTTCCTGATCTATTCCTGGGATGTATTTACAGATTCTTATAAAACAGCCAAACCCAACCCAGTTATATGGGAACTGCTGAGTCACAGCCTGACCTCTGATTGATCACCTGAGGTGAGCAATGAGTCAGCCTCAGGAGCACAGGTGAAGGTAATTCACCTGTGCTAGACCCATTTAAGAGTTGGCTACCAGGGAGGAAGGATTTCTTCTGGAGATCCATTATGTTGGAGTTTTGTAAGTGAGCCCAGGATATGGGTAAGTTTTCTATTTATTTTCCTTTTGTTATCATCATTTGCTTTGCCTAACTCTCTTGTTTATTTTGTAACTATAATGTCTTAATATTCGTTATTTATACACCAGTCTAATCCAGCCCAGGGAATCCCTGAAGGTGTATTTAATGTATGTGTATCAAGGCCCAAGGAAAAGCAGGTTTGCAGAGCAGAATTGTTACGTCTAATCAGGGCTCTCTTATATAAGCTAGATGAATATTTTTTAATTTCCCATTTACTACTAAGGAAGACAAACTTATTTTTAGCCAGTTTCTGTTAGACAGTTCACCTGAAATAAAATGAGACTACCTGAATCACTTTGTTTCAACTGCTTAAATCATTTTATCGAACCATTCACTTTTCAGATGCTTAGAAGTGTAGAGAAATAAAGCTCAGGCTTCTGGCTGCAGTGATTTTTCTTTTATCCAGCAACCCGAAGATACAATCTTAAACTCAGCAGGATGCACAAAAAAACCTACTGATTAGCATAAACAGGTTTTTTTAATTGCTTTTTTTTAACATAGAATTCTTTGCTTAAAATTATTTTTATTTATTTACTTATTTTTATGCAGATTACCTAAATATTATATGATGCACTGGAATCATCCTGTGTGTGAACATCATAGACATTGTACTGAATAGCTGACAAGTGCTGAATAATTTTTTTTTCTGATCTCACAAAACCTAATTAGTATTTGTACGAAGTGCTAAGGAGACAATACTGACTTTATTATATTCCCATGACTACAGCTCACACTTAGGGTGGGCAAACATTAAGTTCAGATGTGCTCCCTGCCTCTTTCAAAATAGGAAGGTGGCTGTAGTTTCAGAAAAGCTTAATGCATAGTGATGTAGTGCTTGCATTCTGACTGAAAAAACACAATCACCAAACATCTCATAGCAGGCTGATTGGAACTTTTGGACATCCTAGCAGATGGCATGTGTTCCTTATCTCACATGATAATGAGCATTCATATCCTGAGTGCCTATCTCAGTTCTGGCTTACTCCAAAATATGTAATTTTTTGGTTTATAGTTGGAATTGCTACTACTGATTTGCAGCAAGTGTTCAGTCACATTTACTCATGTTGTGTAATCCTATGTAAAAAATATCCTATTTCTCATTTGTTTTTATTTGTTTATCAGTGATTAACACCAGCTTCTTAGTCCTTTGCCTTTTGTGTTACTCTGAAATTAAGTGATGGATTTGTCAATTACACTTAACAAACAGTAAGATTACTGTTAGTACCTGGCTACAACTTCCATAATTTACAAGAAAAAATCTTTTGCCTTCCATATGTCCCTGGGCTGCTGTTTCTGGCACACTTAGAAAAAGTAATTCTGAGAAGGGCATACACAGTTTCATGTGTGAAAAAGATATTTAACAGTGGGATTCAGGTATGGAAAATAAACTGAAAACAAACAAGCAAAACGTATCAAGCAAAGACAGTCCTTAACCAACTCTCTAAAGTTGAAAAATTGTGTTTGCTATGCAACATTATACTGAGCCAGAAGTTCTTTTTCAGGGGAAAAAAAAACAAAAACAAAAAGCTTTAGTAAATTTGTTGCAGCTCAGGCTAATAAAGTGTCTAAGAAAGAGAAGTTTACAAAACAAACTGACGTTACTAATGATGTGCTTTCGGCTAGGGAGAATTGTGTTGGCTACCACCAACTTCAGATCAGATGACAAATTGCTGACAGCAATGTCAGAGGCCTCACCTCTATGTAGACCTTAGCAGTAGACCTGAAGAGCATTTTTTACTAATGGCAAGACAGGAAACGACAGAGAGAAGAGCAGATTATAGCAGAAAAAGTGAGAGATTTTCATGGTTTCAGCCTACATTATTATTTAAGCTGTTAAGAAAGTGGGCAGAGAAAGTAGGAAACTGGCATGGCTCAGCAAGGACCTGCTGGGCATGCTGATAGCAAAGAAAGGTCCATACAAGCTCTGAAAACAAGGGCTTGTCACCTGGGAAGAATTCAGGGATGCTGTCTGGATTTGCAGATGTGGAATCAGGAAAGTCAAGGTGCAAGAACTGAACTTAGTGAAGGATGTGAAAAACAAGAGGAAGGCATTCTACAGGTACTCTGGCCAGAACAGGCAGGCCAAAGTGAGTGTATCTCCTTTAGTAAACGCAAAAGGAGAACTGGCTTCAGCAGATGAAGAAAAGGCTGAAGTACTGAATGAGTTCTTTGCCTCAGTCTTCACTGGTGGCCAGGATTCCAGTACTTCTCATGTCCCTGAGCCCTGCATCCCTAAACCTCCAGGTGGGGACTGGGGCAGTAAATGATTATTAGATCAGCAGCTAAAATTTCAGTGTTCTGGAGGCAACAGCTGTGTGAAAGAGTAAGATCTACTTTAAATAGTACCCAAAGACCTTCAACAATATACTTTTCCAGAGGAATTAGAAAATTACCTGCCACCAGATAAGAGAGAGGTTTTTTGTGCAGATAAATAGCAGGGTGCACATCAGAAACTCAAGGTTTCAGGGTAACTTCAAGGTAAATGAATGGTACATTTTTGCAGAAAATAGACACTGGAATCCTGCAGTCATCCATGCTGAAGCCTTTAGTGTTCAGCATATTTACAAGCAGTCTGGAGAGAGGGTGAAGAGCAAATAGAACAGGTTGCTAATGAATATGGAATTATTAACAGCAGCAAAACTTATTGAGGAATTGCAATGAACACTACTGTGTGACTAAGTACCACAAATGCAAGGGAAATTCAGTGCTGGTAAATGTTACATGGTGCACACTGGGAAGAAAAATAATCTTTATTTCACATGGAAAGGATGGATCTGAGCTGGCTATTACTGTTCATTATCCAAAACCATTACGAAGAATGGAGTTACTAGGGTTTCCATCCACTAAGCATATTAACAAATTGTTAGGAAACAATGAATAATGTTAAGGTTTGCTGGTCATACAAAATTATTCACATAGTTTAAACTAAAATTGACTTTAAAATACTACTCAAAACTCTCATGAAAATAAAATGGTTCGTTAAATACAAAATCATTTTCAATGGGGGAAGAAACAAATGCAGTTTGTTACAGACACAGGGTGACTGGCTCTCAGTTAACTATCATTATTCCAGAAAGAAATTTTAGACACATTGTGTGGGTAGTATTCTAAATGTCAGCTTAGAATAACAATTTAAAGAATAAACAGAATGTTGGAACTACTGGAAAGACAATAGAAAATAAAATGTAAACCTTGAATATACCACTGTGTAATCTCTGGAATAGCTGTGGTGCAAATGCTGCAGGTTGCTTTGCAGATGCAAAGGTAGAGTGGGACTAAAAAGAGGCAGTTAGAACTGCATGATGACTACCTGAGTGTCGTGGTTTTATGATTTTTTATTTTCGGTATTCCACGTCTTAACATCATGTAGTGCACTGGGAGTTTAACTGTTAATACTCAAGTTCTGGGTACCTGTTCTTCTGGAAGAAGAACTACATTCTCCAGGGGGCTTTGCAGTCAGAGAGGAGATACAACTCCTGGCAAGGTCACCTGATGTGACCTTCTTCATCAGCTCTCCTCCTGTCTCTCTGCTGCTCAACTGGACTGCGCATCTCACCTCGGTATTATGGTGAGGCCTATCCACCTTTTGGACATTCTCTCTCATTATATTTGATTTATTAGCTTCAACTCTAATTATATTGCATTATGGTGTTTTATCTTGCATTCCGATACTATATTTAGTAAATTATTTTGTTTCTCCTCAGATTGTTGCTGCTGTTTTTAATTATTTTGGGGCCCCATGCTCCCTTTTTTCTGGAGGCGTGGATTTTGCGAAATCCCTCCACTCCACTAGTCATGGAAGCGGGCTGGACCAGCCCGTAAACTGTTGACACCGAGTGAGGCTAAATAAGGAAGATATGATTGAAATATTTAAAATTACCAGTGAAATGAAGGCACTACTTTTTTTTTTTTTTTTTTCTTTCTTTCCTTAGGAAAGAAGACGTAAGACAAGAATGAAGCAGTAAGACAAACCCTGGAAGAAAGTTCCACTGTAGGTTTCTCTTTTCAACCTCAAGTTCAAGATATTTGCATAACACTGACTCAGAAATTTGGAAGGTATATGATAGGAAATATCTTTACTCTCTCTCTCCTGTAAACTTTTTCTTGATGCCTACCACTGAGCAATGTTAGAAACAAAGCAGAGCTCTAAATGGGCTTTTGGTTTGATATAAGAAAGCTATCATATATAATTTTGCTAACTTAGATATTGAAACATTACTTTACACTCCAAATATTTAGACAAAAAAGCAAATAATTTCACTATTTTCATTGTTGTTTTTAACCTATGAGGACGGTCCAAATGGCATTTCTCAGTAAAGACATTATGTATTTAGAATATTTCAATAATATGAAGTAATGTATTGGAGGGTCATATTTTCTGCCTCTTTTTTATTTTGGGAAAGTGCCACAAAATTCTCAGGTGGATGATTTGTCTTCACAGGGGTTGCTTCACTCAAAGATTATATTTAGTTACTTGAATATGTTTTTCATAGCAAATAGTGCATTTATATACATATGCCATTTATTAACTACTGAAGCATTCAATCATCTTATCAAATGTCAAGTTGTTATTTCTTTGAAGTTTAAGAGTTAAAATTTATCTGAATCCAGATAGTGTACTGGGTGATACTTGGATATGTGCCTTATGGTTCTAAGTCTTGCTCAATACATACTTGATTAATTTCATGAACTTAATTTTATGTTTTTTAAATGTTTAATTTCATTTATAATCTCTCCTCTCATTTATTTATCATTTCCTTTAATAGCATTTTCCTCATCTCTCATTTCAAAGCTCCGTAAGAGAAGATTTTCAATAAATTAAACACACAGTTAAGAATTTGAACACATGATGATTGCTTTACTTGAAATGCAGCATAACAGTCTCTGAATTCATTCTTGCTGAGCATGACACTTGAAACTTCACCATGAAAGCTACACTATGAAATTTTTATTTACTTTCATGTACTTTGCAGGTACATTGATCTTGTCAGGATAAAAATAAACAATCAGGAAGCAAATGGCAATTCTTATTTACTATTTTTGTCCTCACAAATCAATGACTGGAATGTTAACGTCCATGCATTTTAGAGAGTTATCTGGCAATATTTGAGTTGGTGCTGCATAATCCTATGTCATTTGCTGTTTTCCTGTCATTTGTTTAATGCTAAACTACCAGGAAATTTAAAATCTTGCTCAAGGTTAAAAGCCTGCAGAGTTACTGAATGTAAAAGGAAAATTCAGCAGGATTTTGTGGTCTCCTATTGAACTGTTTGTCAATGCTGATGTACTTTAAATGGTACAGTAGGGGCTAATAATGGGAAAGCACACACATTTACATTAATTATCATAATTTTCACCCTAAATAATATTAAGAGAACTTTATCTGTTCTCAATTTTCTTTAATTGTCAAGGACAACAACATATAGATTATCCATGACTGAAAACCTGCCTAACAACTCCATGAATAATAAGTATTAGTCTATGAATAATGGCTAAATTCCAGATTGTTGCACCAAGTCAAGAGGCCCTGTTAAATACCACTTCTACTGATAAGCTGTAAGTAAAAAAACATGTGATCAGAAAGTTTACCATTTCACAGGATGCTATTACCCTCTTTACTCTTTGCTGATGATGCTGCCTTTAGAAAGATTTCTGTGTCCAGCTTGGGTGCCATAGTTCAAGAAAAAATAAAGCAGGTTTAACTTGCTGGGTGTGATCACTTTCTCAGCGTCTTCGAATGAACCACAATCCTAAATAAAATATATTAATGAATGAAATTATGTCAGTTATGTGTGAAACAGATGATATTACGTATAGAAATTGTGCTGATCGAGACTGAATTTTTGGAGGGAAGTCAACCTATTAAATCATAAAAAGAGTCAATGCATTTTTTCTGCTTGCAGATTCTTTTGTAATTCATGGGGATACACGATAAAAAATGGTAAAAATATTTCCACTTGCCTAATGCAACTCTAATAATTTACAAAGAACTGCAGTGATAAAGAATTCAGAGAACTAGGGGAAATACAAATCCATTATCAACTTTAGACATCAGGCTGTCTTTTCAGATTTTAATTCTTCTGAAATGTACTTTCTTTCTGTTCTTAATTTAAGTTCAGTTTTCTGTTCCCCATTTTTGGGGTCTCCTTACGTCCCTGTGCTATTGTTACAAAAAATGCTAAGAGAGGTCAGTACTTCTCTCAAAAATCCACAGTCTGTTTACCACCCTGTACACACTTACCAGTGCTTATTCTTAACTTTGAGAGAGTAGCTAAATAGCAGCTTTTCTATTTCTCACCTTGTGGTTCCTCTGACCATCTGTGCAGTTCTTATTTAGAATGACCCTGATTTTTCCATCCGCCAAACTCCACACTTAAAGAAGAAAAATTAAAAAAAAAAAAAAAAAAGTAGAAGTTCAAACCTTAACTTATATGATAAATTCTTACCTAATTTTGCAATGAATGTAGTCTTTCTGAAGGCTAAACTAGAATTTTATGGGAAATAATTACAGGGTTACCTAAATATGGAAGATTCCCTTGTACGTATTACGGTGTTGGGACTGTCCTAGATTCATGTAAAGCTTTGCTTCAAAGTGTAATGCCATCCACAACTTTGTTCTACTGGATTTATTGTGGACATCACCTCCCCCACAGTTAAGTCTCTCTTCCTAAAGAGAGATTTCCCTCTGTAGAGTGTTGTATATTACTTGATTTTGTTATTTAATGCTTGTTCGAGATAGCTTGACAAGGCAATTTATCTTCATGTTATGACTCTATTATCAGGACAATGAAAAGTGCAACACTTCTGTTAAAAATAAATATACAAATTTAACTCCTATTTACACCCATTTGAGAATATATATATATATACATATACAAATATTTTTATAAAGAAAAAGAAAACAATACCACTGATGACGATGAATGCATGAGTAGAGCTGATGAGAAAATCTGACCCCTAGTATCACACAGAGGGATAAATTCATTTAAGCTGCAAGGAAGTCCTGGATAATGGTAAGTAAATTAACCTTTATTTTTCTCTTTTGGGAATAGAAACAGATTGGCCAGGTGACTTTGATAGTTCTTATAGTAAGTCCTGGAAAGTGATGGAAAATACAACATAGGGGTAGATAGCTTTTATCCTTAAGCCTTATACAATTCACCCTCCTTGTCTCATCTGATAGTTGATTTTCAAAGGCTTTTCGGAATTTGTAGCCCTTTTCTTAAAGCTTGGATTCATTGTCTTGGCTTCAAACTTCCTCCTATGTTTTGAAATTTAAATATATATGTATCGTTTTATTTTTCTTCATTATCAACATACAGCACTCACAAGGTTATTGCCAACTGCTTCTTAACAGCTAAATTGGCAATGTATTCACTTTTGGTTTGGGGTCCAAGATGAGGCAAGGCATGCTATACAGCTACACTTCCTGGTTTTCTGGGAAGACAGTAGCACTTGCAGACTGAAATTATTCCTTTCTAATTGTCACTCAGGAATGATGTGCTGAATATGCTGTCTAATGATCTGCCTTCAGTTTGGACAATCAACAGTGCAGTATTAAGCTGATTTTGGGGAGAGAAAGAAACTGATGATTTAACTCCTACCAGTTGCACAGAAGGAAAAATAATATTTCCCCAAAATATTTTGAAAACATAGAGGAAAAAAAAGTGTGAATGCTCTTACAAATGTTTCCGGAAGACCTTGCAGACTTAGAACAGTACAACATAACTTTTTAACATATTTACTTCCCCTTCTCCTTTTTATTTTTATTTATTTATTTTTTTTTTTTTACTTTCCAACTAGAAATTTCAAACCGAATCACAGTTATGTTACTGGTGTTTTCAGCTGTAGTTGACAGACGTAGCTTGTCCACTTTCAGAAAATGATTGCTATAGCTTAAGGGAAAGGAAACTCAAATGCCTTCCAGAAATATAAGGGAAAATGAAACAACTTACAAAACTCAAGTCTAGGCACTGTTTTTGGATAACACTTATGTAATGAATCCTGCACAAAGCCAACCGAAAAAAAAAAACTTATTCTTTTACATATTGCACTGATTTAAATAGCAAATATCAAACAATGTAATGAAAGGCTGTTAGAAAACTCAAAGCTTAGTAAATGGCTCCATTCTCTGCTTTCACAGTTCTATATAAGACAATGAATTTACAGCAGGAGAATAACTTATCTCAGTAGATTTGGTGTTTAGAGTGTTCTAATATTAAACAATAGTATTTTAATTTGTGAGCAAGAATATATACATATATATATATACGTTCTCCTATGATTTCTGTATCTCTGGAATTATTTATTGTCTCTTCTCAACTTGGGTGTTTTGTTTTATTTTGCAGGATAAATACTACTAAGTAGAACATACTCCTGTCAGTGAACATGAGATAAAACAGGTCTTTGACTCCCTTCACACTCATTACTGCAAACATTTTCCATTCTAAAATCCAAAACCATACAATTTCCTTCATTAGCATATTGCTATTAAACTTTTGCATGGGTGTGTCTAATTCACAGTCTGCAGGCCCCATGTGGCCTGGCCCAGACCCTCCTGCACCCATCTCCTGCCCCATGGCATTGGTGGCAACTCTGCCCTTCCAAGCAAAGCGATCCGACCCAGCTCTGGTTGTGCATCTATTGCTCAGCTACAACTGGATGATGGTGTACAATTGACACCACCTGGTCAGATAACATGGCACAGGGAGGACACAGTGCAGTGTTGACTGGAATTATGGCACATAGCTGTATGCATTTTGATACAATGGCTAAACACTGTCCTGTGAATGATGAAAAATATGCAGTCTTGCTTTCCATTTTGATGAGGGAATTTGAGAACAGCTTTCAATGTTATTGAAAAAATCATTAATTTTTTGGTATATTTGTGGATCTATTTTCAGTCAACATAAATACATTACCTGCAAATTTTCAAATGGAATGTTGAGTGTTGCAATCAGACATTCAACTCAAATTTTGATAATCTCTTTACATGCAAGTTTCTTTACCAACAGATCTTTTTACCTCTTAAGACCTATCTTACTAGAGAAAAATAATCCCTGCTTCACAGTTGCCTCATATTCACTTCTTTTATTTCTGGCAGTATGTACATTTGCGAACAATTATTTTCGAAAATGAAGTACCAAGAAGAGAAAAAATTCATCAAAAATCTCTCACATGTACCTAGAGAACTCACTAAGAATTGCACTGACTGCCAGCAAATCAGATACTGATGCATTAGTTTCATAAAAACAAAGTCAAATGCCCACTCATTTTATGTTTTTATTACTCCTTTTTATTTGTATTAAAAAAAAAAAAAAAAAAAAAGTTTTGTTTGTTATATACATTACTGATATTTTACAAGATTTACTCCAAAAATGATGTCTCCTATTTTCCTATATTGATCCACAACATCAGAGGTCTGGCAGTAGAGGCTGAACCTTCCCATCAATATTCCATTATATTTTGTTGCCATGCGACATTTGGCAGCAGAGGAACAGTTGGACAAGAAAGTATGTGTGAAGCAAAAATGCATCACTGAATTCCTCCATGTGGAAAGTATTGTACCCACTGACGTTCATTAATGCTTGCCAAATGTATATAGAGACCAAAGAGTGGATATGAGCATAATGAGGTGGTGGGTGTTGTTTTTCAGTGGTGGCAATAGTGACAGTGGTCACCTCCAGTGATGCAGATTTTTTTTTTGAGTGCAGCCTGCATGCTCTTGTTCATCACAGGTAGAAATGGTGATGATGATGTTGAAAAAGAGTGTTTTATAATCGAGAGTTTGCTCTATCAAGTAGTGTTATTGTGCTTTTTGTATCTGCTGTAGTATCGATGGCAATAAGTAGGAAGCACTGCTTTCTAAGCAACCTATGCATAAACTACTCAGTACAGTTTCTCTTCACTTACTGTGACCCAGGAAAAACAAAAGGTTGGACACCCATGCTTTTGCAAGTTTGCACATTACAGGAAGAGCATAAAAATAGCAAAGTTACCAATCATTTAGCAAAAGTATTGAAGTTACCTGAGTACAGCTCATGTTAAGTAGTGAGCTGCTTTCAATATCCTCTTATATTAACTATGCTCTCTTTTGTGCATGTGCATTTGTGTGCTGAACTAATTCCGTAAAGCAATGATATAGTGCCTTAATGAAACTCTGCCTTATATTTCTTTCTGTCTCTAATTCAACAGTACTCACTATTTCAAAACTGTAGTACTTTTTTTTTCTTAGACTTTATAATTGTTATTTTCTTATACTGTATGCATAGTTCTGATACTGACCCTTATGCTCTGAAAGAGAAGAGCTATTTTTTCCCTTGAACCACAAAAAGGGATAGAGCAGAAGGAATAGCTTTACCAATCAAATCAGTTGCATATCGAAGTAAATAGAGATTCTGTATAAGTAGTTGAGGTTATATTAATAGCCAGAGAATATCTGGGTATCACTAGTAATCCATTTTTTTAATACTGTTTTTCAAAAGTGATTTTGTTTAATTACTTCTCTTTTAAACAGTCACACTGTAGGTTATATTCTGTTCAGCACTGTGTATTTT